AGGGTTTAGGGTTTGGGGTGTTTAGGCTTTAGGCTTTTTTGGTTTTAGGGTTTAGGCGTTTAGGGTTTTTAGGGTTTTCAGGGTGTTGAGGGTTGCTAGGTCCAGGGTTTCTTCTAGTGCTCGGCAGGCACGAGGCTTCATCTGAGATATGCTTCGACTTGAAAACACACACCAGCAATACCTGTTAAGTTAGCAGGGTGCGCAGAATCGCATTGTTCGCAAGAAAACAGGCTAGCAAGACTTCGTACAGGTAGCGGTCGTGGTTGCAGTCGTGATACTGCTGACAACTCCAGCAGCGGCAGCAACCGCAGGAACGATAGTAACGAGTGGAGTCATGGAAATCATTGTGAGTACAGTGACAGTGCTGCAAGTCCGAATGCTACCATTTATCACCGGTCATGGTATGGACGAAGGCTGTTGATACAAAAAGGCTGGCAACAGCTTTTGTGAAATGGCAGCTCCGGAGCTAGAGTAAGAAGGACAGTGTGAGCATTGTAGAAATGCAATATACGGCTCTGAACAAGTAGTCGTCATGTCCTCTCGTAGCCCCTATATAGTTATGTATGATGTACCCCGAAACCACAGTCGCTTTGTGAAGGGCCCTACATTAGACTCGGCAGCCCGAAGTCTGCCAATGTGACGGAGGTCCGAGAAGAGTACGCGGCCGTGCGCAGCCGCGCGGCTGCGGAAGGCACGACGCCGGCGGGTTGGAAGTACGGTTTAGGGTTTGAGGTTTTTCTAAAAAATGGGTTGCTTTCCAGATTCCAGGCTCAGCCTAAACCTTAAAAACCCGCGGCACTAAAAATAAACTTAGGGTGTGAACCCTGAACCCAAAATGTGAACTCAACGGGAGAAACGGGTCCCCTTACAGAATACTGTCCTGTGTTTTCATTACGAGGGTGCTTTTTGTGTTCCGTGTTTATGATGGCGCAGTGGACAGCAATGCGAGTTGGGGTACCTCTAAGCTTGAAGGAATCCCAAACTCTAATTTCCCCAAGCGTGGCCAGTGTGAGGGGCTTTGGGTCGCCAGGAAAAGTTCGATCAGAACAAGCACGAAGCCGCCTTCTGCTGCGTGAAACCTGTTCTGGTTGAATCTTCGGTGGTCTCCCGCGAAATCCGTCCCCACGAATCGCAATGGAGTGAGCGGGACAGAGGCTTCGACCACAACCTGATCACTGCACTGTCCGGCGACGGAGCCTTACAACTGAGGAACTTGACGAGGATCTCAGTGCAGGAGCATGACGAGGCGTGGTTGTTGCTGGTGAGCCAAGTGAAGATACTTTTTTCCGTCACCTTTACCTTCGAGCAGCATGCGATGCCCATGGGGGCCTTTGTCAGAAGCGCGCTTGCCTGAGACAAGCCCTACACCCCAAACATCAGCATCCAGACCCCATCAGGAACTCCCAAGTACCCCTTAACAAGAGCCCCCTATGTAAACCCAAAACCTAAACCTAAACCTTAACCCTAAACCCTAAACCCTAAAGCCTAAACCCTAAACCCTAAACCCTAAACCCCAAACCTAAACCCTAAACCCTAAACCTTAAACCTTAAACCCTAAACCCTAAACCCATTCCCTAAACCTTCTTATGATCGAGTCCTCGAGCCATTGGCCATTTGGGGCATCGAGGTGAACCCGAAGCTCCTTCAGCCACAACCCTACTGTAGGGGCCTTAATAATTCGAATAGGGTTTTGGGGTTCCTTTAAAGGGTTCTAGTACGGCTGCTATAAGGGTTTAGGGTGTAGGGGCCTTAATAGGGTTCCCAACCCTAAACCCTAAAACTCCGAAGCCCCTAAACTCCCAAAGCCCATAATGTAGGGGCATTAGTAATTAGAATAGAGTTTCAACCCTAAACCCTAAAACCCCCAAGCCCCTACACTCCCAAAGCCCACATGGAACCCTTGGGGCATTAGTAATTGATTAGAATAGGGTTTTGGGAGGCTCCTTATTATAATTGCAGTATAATAGACCCCAAACCCTGCGGCTCTCTTTTGTCCCTGATTTTGGCGAGCGTGCCCGATAAGCGACACTTTTCTTGCCGTTTGGCTGGGAAGTTATCTTGCGCAGTTAACACAGGCGAGCAGGGTGAAAAAAAGGCACCTATATGAAGCCCTCAAGCCCCCAAGCCCCTTAACTCCCAAAGCCCACATAGAACCCTAGAGAGAGTCATTCATAATCACGAATGGTAGCGTTAGAGTAACTTTGTCAGAAACCTCGCAGAATGCTATCGAGTCGCTTATAGTAGCCCTATAGTAGCACATAGAATGCGATAAACACCCTATAGCATCAACCCTAAACCCATAAACACCCTAAGCCCTAAACCCTAAAGCCTAAACCCCTAAACCCCTAAACCCCTAAACCCCTAAACCCCTAAACCCTAAACCCTAAACTTCCAAACCCTAAACCCCTAAACCCTAAATCCTAAACCCCTGAA